GAGAGGGGATTGCAGCATGGCCATCCCCCCTGGAGGGTGATTTCTCTCTTTCTGTCCCTGTCTCTGCTTTTCTGGTGAGCGCACACACCCTATAGCAAAAACCTCTTAAAAGAAAAAAAGGCAAAAAGGCTCACTCACCCCCACTAGTGGGTCAGGCTACAGTGGGGTCAGGCTGATCTGCCCTAGAGAGCCCTCCTCAGGACCAGCAGTTAGTGTCATGGCTATGTCACTGGTCTCCCATGTAGTCGACCGTGGTTTGCGTCCCGGACCCAGTGGCTTAACCTCACGCCGGGCGCATGTGCGTGAGTGCCCAAGATCCCGAGAGGAGAATGGAAGACAAGGGATTGCGGTGTGGCCATCCCCCCTGGGGGGTGATCTCTCGCTTTCTGTCTCTCTGTCTCTCTCCATCTGTCTGGCGAACACACGCACCCTATAGCAAACTCTAAAAAAAAAAAAAAAAAAAAAAAAAAAGACCTTACCTCTCCTTAAGAGGGAATCACTTTCCCTTGAGGGTCCCGCAGCCCTGGGGGGTTCCGGATCATTCTTCTAAACTCCTTGGACTGAAATCTGGCCAGTCTGACTCTGCTTCTACGGCATTACGTTCCTTCAGGGGTCTGCACTGGCCCCCTGGCCCCCCGGAACTTGGTGTGGAACAGAGAATGCGCTGAGGGTCTGGTCCCATGACCTAGCGGTTAAGGGAACTGGACTCCACGTAGCCAACCATGTGGTGCAAATCCTGGCCCTGGTGGCTTGAAAAACACACTGGGTGTGTGTGTGTATATGCCCAATGGAGGGAACAGACTGTGGCATGCCTTGCCTCATTGGGGAGAGCTTTCTCCCTCTCTCTCTGGCACGTGCATGTGCCTTCTGATTAAAAAAAAAAAAAAAGAGGGACCAGCAGGCGGCATGGTGGTTAAGGTGCTGGACACTCCCACACGGCCGACCACAGTTTGAGTCCCGGACCTGGCTGCTTCCTTTCTCCTTTTCTGTCTCTCTCTGTGGTCAAATTAAAATAAATGAATGAATAAACAAAATTAAATAAATAATAATTTTAAAAAGAGAAAAGAAGACAGACACACAATGAATGTAAGATGACAGGAACAAAACTGATGGGGGTGGGGAAGGTGGCATGGTGGTTAGAGTGCTGGGCTCCCACATGGCTCATCACAGTTTGAGTCCCAGAGCTGGGGGCTTGTAGTCACACTTTCCCTTTCTCTCTCTGGTAAAATGAAATAATAATATAAAATTAAATAAAATTTTTGAAAAGAAGAATGATTTATTTATTTATTTGTTATTATTATTTTTCAATTTGACCAGAGAGGGATGGAGAGAGAAAGGGAAAGTGACAAAGCAAGCCGCCAGGTCTGGGACTTGAACCGTGGTCGGCCATGTGGAAATCCAGTGCCTTTAACAACCATGCCACCTGCTGGCCCCATAAATAATTCTTTTTTTTTGTTTTTTTGGAGAGGTTTTTTGTTATAGGGCACGTGCGCTCATCAGAAAGACAGAGAGAGACAGAGAGACAGAAAGCAAGAAATCACCCCTGGGGGATGGCCACGTCCCAATCCCTTTTCCTCCATTCTCCTCTCAGGATCTTGGGCATGCACACACACGTGCCTGGCGTGAGTCTTAAGCCACCGGGTCCAGGACACAAACCGCAGTCAGCTACATGGGAGTCCAGCGACATAGCCATGATGCCAGCTGCTGGTCCCATAAAGAATTCTTTCAAACAAAAAAAAAACAAGAAAAGACTGACATGGAACCTATCACTTCCAATGTGCTTGGGACCTCCACGGAGATGGGAAGCGGAGGGGCGTGTGTACCTGTGTGTGTGCGTGTACGTGTACATGTGTGCAGAGGAAGGGGGTGCAAAGCTCACCTGTGGTCTGTGCCTTCTGCAACTTCAGAAACTGCTGCAAGAAGCTACCGTCGTTGGCAAACTTGTTAGAGATACAGGAGGAATTGTGTGCATCTGCAATTCTAGAAACAAGACAGAAGACAGAGAGGGTGGTTGCGTGGTGGGGGGGAGCCTGGGTGCCCCAGAACAAGGCTGCACCCTACACCCACCCTGACATTCTTACCTAGTGGAACCCAAAACTAGTCCCCAAAAGATGCCCGGCGACTACAGCCAAGTACACACAGTGGGCTTCAAGGTAGTGAGCTTGTTCTAGTAAGAGTAATACAGGTTTTGGGACCAGCGGTTAGCGTAATGGCTATGTTGCTGGACTCCCATGTAGTCAACCGCGGTTCGTATCCCGGACCCGGTGGCTGAAAACTCACGCCAGGCACATGTGTGTGCGTGCCCAAGATCCCGAGAGGAGAATGGAGGAGAAGGGATTACGGCGTGGCCATCCCCCCTGGGGGGTGATTTCTCCCTTTCTGTCTCTCTGTCTCTGTCTGTCTGGCAAGCGCATGCACCCTATAGCAAAAACCTCTTAAAAAAAAAAAAAAGAGTAATACAGGTTTTGGGACCAGCAGGTGGTGTAGTGGTTAAGGTGCTGGACTCCCACAGAACTGACCACGGTTCGAGCCTCAGGACCCAGTGACCTGAAACTCATTTTGAATGTAAGTGCAACCATACCCAAAATCCTGAGAGGAAAATGGAGGAGAAGGGACTGCGGCATGGTCATCCCTCTAGGGGGTGATTTCTTACTTTCTGTCTCTCCTACAAGAGTGTATGCCCTATAGCAAAAAATCTCTCACTCAAAAACAATCACGGGGGGGAATCAGCAGATGGCATAATGGTTACATCACTGGACTCTCACGTAATCAACTGCAGTTCAAGTTTCAGACCCGGCAACTTAAAACTGATACTGGGTACATGTGCGTGCATACCCAAAATGCTAAGAGACTGGAAGAGAAGGGATTGTGGCATGGCCATCCCCCTCAAGAGGTGATTTCTCACTTTCTGTCTCTCAGGTGAACACACAACCCCTACAGTAAAAAGCTCTTTAAAGAAAAAAAAAAAGAGAGAGAGAGAGAGAAATACAGGTTGAGCATCCCTAATTTGAGCAGAAATGCTCCAAAATCCACAACTTTTATAGCGCCAGTATGATACCGTAGTACAAAATTTTACATTTGACCTCGTGAGACTGGCCATGGTCAAAACACTGCAATTCAAAAGGGTTCAGAAAGTACAGAACGAAACAAAAATTAATTTCATTTAGACTTGTGTTCTATTCCCAAGGTATCTCTTCACATACACACAGATATTCCGAAATCTGAAGACATTTAAAATCTAAAACACTTGGGAACCAGCAGTTAGCGTAATGGCTATGTCGCTGGACTCCCACGTAGTCGACCGCGGTTCGTGTCCCGGACCCGGTGGCTTAAAACTCACGCTGAGCGCGTGTGTGTGCGTGCCCAAGATCCCGAGAGGAGAATGGAGGAGAAGGGATTGCGGCGTGGCCATCCCCCCTGGGGGGTGATTTCTCGCTTTCTGTCTCTATGTCTCTCTCTGTCTGTCTGGCGAGCGCACGCGCCCTACAGTGAAAAAAATCTCTCCAAAAAAAAAAAAAATCTAAAAACACTTTTGGCTCGCAGGAATTTTGGATAAGCGATACTCAACCTATACTGTATGAATGAGAGGATTTCAGAAAGTGTGTGGGAAAATGGAATTAAAGCATGAGCTCTCTCTCTCTCTCTGAGTTTTGCTACAGGGTGCATGCGCGCATTGGAGAGAAAGACAGACAAGAAGTCAAAAAAACACCCCTTGGGGGGCATGGCCAAACCACAATCCCTTCTCCTCCATCCTCTTCAGGATTTTGGCCATGCAGGGACACACGAGTTTCAAGCTGCCGGGTCTAGGACTGGAATCACAGTCAGTCACCTTAACCACTATACCTCCTGCTGGCCGCTTTCTGTTTATTTTTTGTAAAATGTGGTTTACAAAGCACGGGCAATAATCCCTAAAGTAACAGAGTGGGAATATATGAGATTAAGAAGTTTCTGCACAGCAAAGGACACAGTAATTAGTGTGAATCGACAACCCTCAGAATGGGAGAATATTTTTGCGAAATATGCCTCAGACAAAGGACTGATAACCAGAATACACAGGGAACTCAACCGGTTTACTTGGGAAAAAAAAAATGGTTAACCCAATTAAAAGATGGGAAAATGATGATGTGGTTAAGGCCCTGGACACTCCCACATGGCTGACCACAGTTCGAGTTCCAGACCTGGTGGCTTGCTTTCTCTTTCTCTGTGTCTCTCTCTGGTCAAATTAAAAATAAATGAATAAATAGAGTTAAATAAATAACTATTCAAAAATATTAAATTAAAAAAAAAA